CTCAAGACTTGAGACAAGTGACATCTCCAGACTTGTGTCAAGTGACATCTCAAGGCTAGGGACAAGTGACTTCTCAAGGCTTGAGCAAGTGTCTTCTCAAGGCTTGGGACAAGTGACTTCTCAAGGCTTGGGACGTGTTACTTCTTAAGGCTTGGAACTTGGGACAAGTGACTTCTCAAGACTTGGGACAATGACTTCTCGAGACTTGGGACAAGTCACTTCTCAAGACTTGGGACAAGTGACTTCTCAAGACTTGGGACTAGTCACTTCTCAAGTCCCGTTCACTGACTGACAGGGGCTCTGCAGCACACAGTCTCTAGACCATCCGGTCTCTCTATGGCCGTTTCTTACGTGTCGTCGTTGAAAGGAACGGTTCCGGCGGAGACCGGGTGAGGCATAGACGTTGTCCTATAGACAGAGTGAGGCAGAGAACGGGTCCGGCAGAGACCTTGTGAGGAAGAGACTGAGTGAAGCAGGGAGCTGGTGACGATGTCAACGAGTCATGCAGAGAGGTGCTGTGGTGGAGTAGAGTTCTAGCAGGAAGATGTTCTACTGAAGTTCGGGTGTGGGGAATTTTGAGAATTCTTGAAAATTTTCGAAAAAACAAAAAATGCAGGAAATTGTCTAAGACGCGCACAACACCGAGAATTTTCGAAAAAATCAAAAAAAAAAATTGAAAATTTACAAATTTTTTTGGCTTTGTGCGCCAATTGGAAGATTTCCGGCATTTTTCGATTTTTTGAAAATTTGCTTCAAAATTTTCCCAAAGCGATACCAGCCAGACACGTTTTCTGGCGTGGCCTGTCTCTGGTGAACCCGTTCCCTGCATGACTGGTACTCTGCTGTACACAGTCTCTAGACCATGCGGTCTCTCTATGGCCCTGTTTCTTACGCGTCGTCGTTGCAAGCAGCGCTTCCGGCGGAGACCGGGTGAGGCATTGACGTTGTCCAATAGACCGTGTGAGGCAGAGAACGCGTCCAGCAGAGAACTTGTGAGGAAGAGACTGAGTAATTCAGGGAGCTGGTGACGATGTCAACGAGTCATGCAGAGACGTGCTGTGGTAGAGAAGAGTTCTAGCAGAAAGCTGTTCTAGTGAAGTTTGGGTGTGGGGAATTTTGAGAATTTTTGAAAGTTTTCGAAAAACAAAAAATGCAGGAAATTGTCTAAAACGCGCAGAAAACCACAAAACGTAACCTAACATAATCCAACCTAAGCCAAATTAACCTAACCTAACCTAACCTTGGCGCATCCTAAAGCCACCGCAATGCTTGGCTTGCATTCAATAAGATTAGGCATAAGAGAATAGACGCTTGCGTTGCGACGCCAAACGTACCGCAGAGAAGTCCACAGAAGACACCGTACGATAGTGAAAAACCATTCTCCTCGACGCCATCACAGTACCTCAATAGAGCGACTTAATCAGTTTGGATAACATTGGGAGCGCCTTTAAGAAATAGACGCCCGTCGTCGCGACGCCTATCCTCGCGGCGGCTCAAAAGACGCCAAATTTACATCTGAGAAGTCCCTAGATTAATTACAAAATTTTTCAAATTTTTCGAAAAATAAATAAATGTTGCAAATTATCTGAAGAGCGTACAAAACCAAAAATTTTCGAATTTTTTTAGTTTTGTGCCCGTGTGAGGCTGAGACCTAGTCAAGCAGAGACTGGGTGAAGCACAGACGGAGATGGGTAGAGACGTAGAGGCAGAGTCTGGCAGAGATTAGGTGTGGGAGAGACCACGTCCGTTAAAAGGGCAGGGAAAACTGATTTTCTTTTCAAATTTTTCGAAAAATCAATAAATGCTGCAAATTGTCTGAACAGCGTATTACCGACCAACCCACCGACCGACTAATTGAAGAGCTGTCCAAAAGTACCAACCGACAAACAGATCAACGCAGCAAAAGACCAAGAGACATGTGGCGGCCACTCAGTTCTAAGAAGAGAATAAACTAATGGTCCCTCGTGAAATGCAAGATTGGAAGCATATAGTTTTTGCCTACGACTTCTTAAGAAATGTTTACTCAGAGCAATTTGTGTAGTAAAGTGACATTCTTACCATGGACCTTGAGCAGGGCTACCGCGGATTCACGCACACCGACCGTGTTCTTGGCAACGCACTGGTAACGACCATCATCACTCTGACGGGAATCTTGTATGGCAAGGTTCCCTCCGTCTACCAAGCGCACTCTGCAACATTGAAGAACCAAGTCTCATCAAAGGACTCAGCTTGTACTGAAAGGTGTCCAGATAAAGTAATTCTTATAGGCAAGCATTTATTTAGCAGGAGTAATATTTTCTTGACGTTTTATCATTATCATTTGAATTATTATAAAACTTATGCAAGATAAACCGGCTATAGCAGGCCTCTAATTCCTGTCTGCATAATGGACATGTCAGATTTAGGTATTACGAAATCTGGTTAGTAAAAAACTTATTATTATTTTCTCTGTTTACGTGTGTGTTAATGTTCACCCAATTACGTAAAATAAATTTCTTTGAGTCGAGTACATTTACAAGTACAATTTCGTATTATTATTATTCTTCTTCCTTGACTCTACGGCCCAGATGTGGGCCTTCGCCCGCCGCCTAGTAGTGAATCAGGAGAGACGATGTAGAATTTTGAAAAACAAATCTCCACAGTTTGTTAATTTATTTTTATTGTCGTCATACTTTCATGATTAGTCTCTAATTTTCTGCAGTTGCTAGATAAATATTATACGCGTTTAGAATTCTACGAAAGTCATAGATATATAAATAAGTTATTGAGAAAAAGATCAGTAAGATTTGTAGCTAATTTACTTGGGTAACAAGAAAGTTGAATTAACTCACGCAACACGTACGACGTTGTCCATAAAATTAAAGTAATCCATGTACCTGGTATGTATTTATTCATGTCGAAAAGGGAAAACAAAAGAACAGCTTGAAAATACTGCCGGCCCCTGACACGAATATGAAAACAAATTATCCAGTAAAGTTGACAGTAATTGATGTGTCCAGTTCGTCTAGTTTCACATCCAAACAATAAAATTCCCGTCGGAACATGAAAACATGTGACGATCTGTTTGCTAAAACTTCGTTGTTTATGTGTCGATAAATAAAGTTGGCACTTTGAGTGTTTTTCTGAGGTGTGCTGTTACAGATCGGCAAAAGACTTTTAAAAGTTTTGAAGCTCTTACAGCAACTGAATGCAATGAAGTTTTCTCTTTGGCTATCAGCCTTGTAGAATGAAGCTTGAAGTTAGAATCCAACGTTTTGGACATTGTCCCTTTCTCCATCTTCATAGTCTTCGAAACTTTGCATTATAATCCCACACTTAAAAGGCTGGTCGCCCGAGAAGACTTTAGTGCATTTGGAGATTTGCTATAATTGAAATTTTCTCGAATGTTCAATTTTGCGTATGTGATGATTCAGGAGTACTTGGTTACTGATGTAACGACGCGTTTAAATTTACGAATTGGGCTTATCGCTTAGGAGGGGGCACAGATGAATTACGGGACACAGGCTAACAGATCCCTTGACTTGTAAATAGATTATTGCATTACGATATGAAACGGGTCAGCTCAAAAGAAGGGAGGACAGATCTTCGGGTTATGGTTAGAATTCTTTGTAAGACTTGGATTTTTAGAGTGGTTTGATCCTTAGGAATAAATAAACTGGAGTGGGTGTCGGTTTTGGTTCAACTAAGATGTTGATAATGTAGGAGATAAAACATGGACATTATTTCGAACGTAAGAATATACATCGAGAATGGCTGATAGGAGCTGATCGACATTTCATACTCACATTCTAACCTAACCTAACCTAATCTAACCTAACGTAGGCTAACGTAACCTAATGTAACCCCTACGTAACATAACCTAACGTAACCTGACGTAACCTAACCTAACCTAACCTAACGTAAGCTAACGTAACCTAATTAACCCCTACGTAATCTAACGTAACCTAACCTAACGTAACCTTTGCGTATTATTTGGTGTCCATATCTTATTTGTCCAGAGAAAAGAAAATTTGGCTTTGTTAATTGGTTGGTGCCCGCCACGATCTCATAAAGTCTCAAATGTACCCGTAGGCACAAAAAGGTTGGGGACCACTGTTGTAATCTATGCTAAAAGTAATCTTTTGGACTCTGTCCGTCCTTCCAGTTTTTCTAATCATAACATTTTGGAAATCGGTTGTGACTGTCTTTGGGTTGTAAGTGCGTGTGTTCTGGTAGACATTTTAAAATTGTTTGCAGCGTAGTTAAAGCTTTGCGCTTGGAGAATTTCAATTGCAGTTGTTAAGGTTGCGTTTTCAGTGGAAAATTCTGCTCGTGTATCTGTTGGCGCAGCCTGCCTGATTCTTGTTTGTGTTTTCCTTCTTCCTCAGGGTTTATGGATTATTACCTCTCTGGTCTGTCCGAATACAGAAATAATCTGAAGCTATGAATCGTCATAGAGTTTTGATATCTTGTTGGGTTTCTTAGATCTTCCTGCCGCAAGACCTGTACTTGTACAAAATCACCTCCGAAACGTCGGTCAATTTCTACGAGGCTCCACGACGCAACATCTTCACAATCGAAGCTGTGAAAGCCTGAAATCTTACTATAAAGGTGAACATTTGGTTGTTTTTACCTTTTCGTTGTGTCGAGGTCAAGGATCTGCCCGTTTTTGCGCCAGAAGACGGTGGGTTCAGGGTGACCTCGCGGAGGCCCGCACTCCAACAACGCCGTCTGACCCTGGGCTACCCGCGTGTTCTTCGGTTCTGCTCGGAAGTCGTCCCGAAGAACTGTGAACAAACATGGACTGATTAAGTACTGCTGAAAACTGTGCTTATAATTTATTACAAAAGGCTTTTCATAACCTGGCGTTAAAAGTGACTGAACGCCTTCTCACGACTACACTCAGCCACTCTTCCAAGGCTTTCCTCGAGACACACTCACGTAAATGTTGCCCTGGGTGCATATAGCATTAAACGTACTGACTTTAAGTAACCCGAGAAGAACTTATCTGCAGCAGAATGGAGGTTGAGGTAATTAAGAAATAGTTAAAAGAAGTAAAATAACATCACCTGACACACGTTAATTACGTATTGTCACGCTCTAGCGCGAGCGGTCACACATTGTGGGTCTATACCCACAGGAGCCTGCCACAAATCACCAGCGGTTAGAACGCTGGCCTTGTAATCCTGGGGGTCTCGGGTTCGATTCCCGGCGGTGCCCGAATTTATAACTTGTGTTGGGCAAGGCCGTGGTCTAGGCAACACGGAGTTTTCCTCCGGGGGCTTCCCCGGTTTCTCCGTGGCATCCCAACAATTACTCCATTCACACACAGACGAAGGCAATGGCAAACCACTTCTGGATCATCTGCCAAGAACGTATATGAACAGGTCCCAGTCCGAGAAAAGGATGGAAGGATCCTGTTCATATGGACCTGTCGTCAGTCAGAACACTAAAAAAAATGGCCTGGGGTCACAGCGCATTGTGCTAGAAGGACCTAAGTGATTTTGGCGTCATAATCACTCATTCAGAAATGCGTTTCAAACTGTGAAACATTTTAGATATTTGGTAGGACTCTTTGGACAAGTGATAATTTGTGCTCTCCACAAAAATATTATTATCATCATCAACGCAAGGAGGATAAGATGGGTGGTACGTACAGCACGCGTGAGTCAGATGAGATACGCGTACAGAGCTTTAGTCGAAAAACCTGAAGGGAGACCACTTGGGAAAAGTGAGTTGGATTAATCTGGCTCAGGATAGGAACCGCTGGCGGGGGGGGGCCTTCTAAAAACGATAAAGAATCTTTGGTTCCCATAAATGACGCAAAGTGTTTTTACCGGTTCAACAACTGTTAGCTTCTCAACATGGACTCTGCTGCATAAAGTTAGCAGAAGTTTTAATCTGTTAGATATTCCATAATATTCCTCTCAGAAGGGATAAGACCGCAAGAATTCGGTAGTCGGTAGCCTAAAGGTTACCGCCATTCGGAGACAGTGCGGTCTTTGTGCGTCGCTAATTACACTGTAAATCACTTAACCCCAAGTCAGCTTCTGCAACGGAGTCCCCAGAAGATCCTCAAGATCGTTCACCTCGGCCCAGGGCAGACTTTAATGTTGATAGGGCGTGGTGGATACCTTTTACAATGTTGATTAAGGGATGAACATGGCTGAATTAATGCAGAATAAAACTAGATACAAACTTATGATCCAGGAAAAGCATTCTGGCGAACAAGAACTCTTGAAGGAAACCAGCAGGAAAACGCTGACCGACGCTTATATCAGTATCAAAGAGACAAATGTGTTGTGACGCTGAGCACTGCGGGTCGGTATTTGTTAGAACACTGGGGAAGTAGATTGATATGTTTGTACTGCGGTAGTGTAAGGGTGACGAATGGCGGCGAGGTTACGAAATAAGACACGGAAACAAATGTATGTGAAAAGTACCAGAAGGGACACAACCGAAGAAGAAGAATAAGAAATTGGAGCGGGAAGAAAGAATGATAAGAGCAAGAAATGGATGACAGAAATAAATTGCAGACGTCTTTAGTTGAAACGAGTTCATCGGGAGAGAGAGGTAAGGATGTGTCTGTGTCGTTGCATTCCTGTATCGCAGAACAAGGAGTGAGTCTTTCTATTATGGTGCGCTCTTGAACCCTTCCTTTTTGCATCTCAAACGCTAACTGAAGATAAGTACACGAGAAAATATGATCCGCCGAGTTTGACAGTGATGTTACTTCTGTACGTATCTGTTTCCCACGGCAAAGTCACGAAATACACGAAGAGAGTACGAGAGATTATTTAACGATCACTTCCTGGTCAAGAAGATTTTCTCATCACTGATCAGAATTTGACGGTGGTGGCGAGAATAAGAATATTTAAAATGCAGGCCCACATCTCGCGTCTTAGAGACTCGCCAATGTGAGAAACAGTACTTTAACCAACAGATAACTTCTGAACTGGTCAAATTATTTGTCTTTTATAGGACCTGAATGTTCATTACTATTTTCACAAGAGGCAGAGGTGCATTAGTCAGGGACAGTGAATGAAAAGCCACGAAGAAAGTCTTTCCATCTTCCTGAGCACATTAAGATGGAAACAAAGAAACTGCACTCTTTGTGAAGCGGACAGTCTTACATCAGAGCCCGGCATCAATCTTATAATGGACAGACGACACGTGAACAAACAGAAGGCACAATAAGCAAATGGGAGTGGAGGTTCACGAGAGAAAAACCAGAAGATGGGGAAGACGGCGATTGGACAAAACGAGGAGCTTGGCCGGTGACATTAGCAACAATTTGATGGCTTTACTCAAGTCTGGCGGAAGAAGTTTCTATTTGTTTCCCGCATTCTGATTTTCTTTGCGGTGAGTATGAAGATTTCCGTCTTCTGGGTTGTTGCGCTGTGTAGTCTGGTCGATGTTAACCAACGTTTCAGAGGTCATACTGCCTCCGTCATCAGGGCGATGAAGATTTCTGTCTTCTGGGTTGTTGCGCTGTGTAGTCTGGTCGATGTT